AAGTCATCCACATGTTGCCTGTTCACTCAACCCACTGCCACACAAAGATCATGCCATAGTTTGGAACTGGAAATCAGAAGCACAAAAAGGAAGGGTGCAACTTCTGCTAGAAGAAAGAACCCCCAATAGCTCTGAGCTGAGGAAAAGGTGAAACAGGAAGTGCATTTTGTCCCCACCTAGTGACCTGGTTTTGCTCCACGAAACTCGATGCACAATTTCACAAGGAGGTGCCACACATCCAGCTGTAGAAATCTATCTTCAGTCTCGCAGAAGGTTAATAATTTTCATGCTGACTGTGTCATATCACATGGAGACCAAATACCAAATATTTGAGAGGTAGATGAGGACCTTGCAAAAAGAAACAAGAGGTTGGAATCGACTGCTCATATTAGCAAGTGTTCGATCACAGGTCCGTACGCAATTACCCATTCAGACATCCACACTCTACATAGCAGTTCTCTTCCAGTTGGCTGGAACAGTTGATTCTTCTTGTTACTAGTAGTAAGGCACTTGTTACTACTAGCTTCTTGTTACTACTAGTAAGGCACCTGTTACTACTAGCGATGCACTTGTTCCTAGTAGCAAATGTCAGATTGAGATTATGCTGAACAACAAGATGTGTGTTCGTTCTTTCCTGGTCCCATGCCCGGCCTTTGATCAAGCTCCAAACTGCGTTCCAACAAGTGATGGGCCTTAGACATGAACATAACACCTGTCAATGGTGCAAACGCTACAAATGATTATTAGTTTCAAACTCCATCCGTCATGGTCTGCTTGATAGCCAGCTCCTCTTCAATCTCCATTGCCTTCATTCATGCATTTATGAAAGGAAAAGAACCACGTCAAACAGGAAAAGTGCCGTTATCTCTCAAAGATCTGTGTGCGTGTGGATGCGTTTGTGTTCAAAAATTGGCACAGGCCACAAAGGTTTTGTTCTTCGCCTTCGCAGCTGCCACCACCGCTGCAGTCTGGACGCTGGACACTGCATTGCGAAGCCTCGGTCGCACAGATTGTGACGTGCACTGCCGCTTGGCGCTCTATCTTTCGGGGAGCTGCAGAATCAAAGACAAAAACGATTGCCGTGTTCCTCATCCATTTAGAAGTCACACACACTTTGTTTGACCTTGTCCGAAAGTCAAAAGCTGCAGCTACAAGTGAGCTGCGAACAAAATGCCAAAAACGGTAAATAAACAGACTTGCATTATTGACATCTTCAAGTTGTCACGAGATGAGAAGCAAGTGATTTGAAGCTTTTGCTTCTTCCAACGGGCTCAAATTTATCAACAAAGTACATATTTTAAGTCAATCAATATCGCTCTTTCAAGGCTTCAAACTGAGCTTCCTGCCCTGCTTCCTGGCGCTAACAGCCACATTCCCAGGCAGACAGGTTCCAAGAAACCCATTAAAGGAAGAGAAGAAAACCAGTCGAGGGTGTAGCTGTGTAGCTGTTTGGGTCACAACGAAGACACGCCGCTCTCATTCATTGGCTGCAATCTGACTCTCCCACTTGCAGCCATTGAAAAGTTGCTAAGTAAGCGACCACCTTCGCTCCGGCACCAGCCCTCAGTGCTTCACTGTGAATGCTTCACTGAGGGTTCTTTCAGTGTACATGCCATAAAAACGTCCAGCAACAATACACATTCGGCGGTATTTTGATTCTGTGTGGGTTGGTCTGACTCTGCGAGGCGCTAATACCTCTTGACAGGTTCAACCAAATAGAATCGGAACAACGCAATGCCTTGGCCACCGACAGATTTGTAACCCAACAAGGAATAGGACCAACCTCAAGATGCCTGCATCTACAAGCGCAAAGCATATCTCGCAAGCAGGGAATTGCAATGTGCTCTTCAAGACAGAACAAACGCCTAGCACACTTTAGGGGACAATCTTGTAGGATGGTTTGTCCTATTAAATTGGAATTCTGGGGTATTATCTGCCATGGACCAGAAGCATAAGCAGCACTTGCCGAAAAGCATTCTACCTAAATTTGTTGTGGCCTTGAATGGCAGCATGTTCACTTTCGGTGTTATGGGAAATCTAGTTGCGAGAAGTTGGTGCAGCCACCTGCACAAGGCATCGCTAAAGTGGCAGCAATTCCGATTCAAGACGTCATAGTCGCTACCTGACCATTCCATCATTAATCAGAAGGAAAGCTCAGGAGGATGAGTGGCAGCCACTGCGCATGTGTGAAGACGAAACGTACCCGTTGCATCACAGCGTGGCTTCTTTTGCTCTCAGCATCTGGGCCTCTGCAATCAGATCTCAACAAAACATTCTATACATGTTGAGCCCAGTTGCCAGCATGCACAGGTGCCGCTCCGTGAACTACCACGCAAGCTTTACCTGTAGCACTCACATGACTCACGCGGCAAAGATTGCCCGTGCCTTGGCATAGAGTGCCTTACCCTGAGCCGTCTTTCCATTCACAAGGCAGAAGCCCTTGATGCCCAGCTCTTTTCTGGCCTTCATCACAGCAGTGTTCCATGCAGAGATGTTCTTGTAGGCCTTCTTGCCAGCAGCGTTCTGCAACTTCGACACAACCTTGCCCCTCTTGTTCTTCATGAGATCGGTTTTGGCATGGCCTGATGCAGTCTTCTCCTTGTTCCCCTTGAAGACGGACACTTTTGCCAGCTTGCCTCGTGCAATCTTGCTCACGGCCTTCTTCTTCATGACCTTCATTGTTGTCGGCTTTGCAGCCTTTTTCATGGACTTCATAGCGGACTTCATCACGGACTTCTTCATGGGAAGAGCCATCTTGACCGAATGAAAATGCTTGAGTCCAAGGCGTAGAGAGTTGCTAGCAAGCTTGGGCCAAATCCACACATCACTGAATAGTAGCAGAGCCACCCCCAAACTTTTCTGGTCATTGCTTTGCATCACAGAAAAGGTTTTTGAAGAACCTGTATCCTGAGGCCCAGACCACGCCAGTCCTGCGCCAACGTGGTTAAAAGCATCATGGCTTCCTGGCACTTGCAAATGCTAGTGGTGCATGAATGATGTCAACATTGCTTCATTTGTATCACAACAAAGCAAAGCATTGCTGAATATTGTATAATGAAAACATAAAGCTTCGCAAAGTAACAAAAGGTGCATGCGACGATCTTTGCTGATAATCATGAAGTATGAAAAATGATGACATGAAGCTTCAGGTCCTCCTTGCCCAAAGGCGTTGCACCCATGCGAACAGCCTTATGCAAGACTTGTTCAGCAAGTTTGAAATCCATCCGTCTCTGTGTGGAAGGGTCAGAAAAGAATCGTCCGCCTCTCTGTATGCGTGTCCTCCACACTCTCCTGGATCACCTGGCAGCTAGTGCAAGCAAGGGATGCACACAGCAGTGGTGAGAACCCATGCCAAGGTGGCAAGAGAAAACGCCGCTCCCATCATCAGTGAAGCCAAAGCTCCATTCCAAACCATAGACCTGCTCTCCAGCAGCTAATTCCACTCCCTTGTTTGGCTTTTCCACTGCTGCTGGCACTTCATGCCATGCCTCCACTCCGGCATGAAAGGCACCAGTACCAATCACACGGCACAAGCGGTTCAGGCCCGAGACAACCTTCTTGCAAGCCACTTGCAAACACACAAAGCGTGGAACACGGGCCTCAGCGCCGGTGACGTCGTAGATTCGCAGCCTCAACTCTGAGTGCCACATCCGATGAATAAATGGCTGGAAGAGACAATGGTTTTCTGTGCACTTTAAAAGAATAGGTGTCCAACATCACCGTGCCTTCGTCCTCACTCCTTCACGAAGAGTGAAGAGAAAAAAGATTCAATTATAAAGATGGATAGATTGGACAGGTAGATGAGCAAATAGGTAGACAGGCAAATAGGTGGACAGGCAGATGGGGAGGTGGGTGGATGGATTGATGGACGGACGGACGGACGGACGGACGGATGAACAAACGATGAATTGGGTAGTTCAGATAGATCGATTGATATGACATTCACAAGATGGATGGACAGGACGTTTGATTGCTCTCTGAAAATATGTTGTCATGAACCAGCCCGAACAGTCCTGGTAAGTGAGGTCGACGCTTGATATAGCTGACTGTCACGTGCCTGCTCCAAAAGTGACAACATGGCATCACTTCGAGAAGTGCCAGAACTGCTGCATGTGCATGTGATATTCTGCTCATCCCAAAATTCCAGACTCTGAAAAAAGATGTATACTGTATACTGTAACTATACTAGATACTGTAAGAATAAAACACGCACGGCAGAAAGCAAAATGCCTCTGCTGCTGGAGGCCCCCAAGAAGTTTCAAAAGGCGCAAAGCTCTGCCGTGCTCGCAACTTGCGGCGCTGCCCGCTGCTGCGTCGCCTGGCGTGCGCAGCAAGGAGCAGAACACTCGTTCAAAATATTCAACACCAAAATCAATGCCTTGGCGCATCTTCAGCATGTGTGTCCTGCTTTTGGTTGAACTTTGCACATGCAATGATGTAAATTTGACTTATGGTTGACTGGAATCGGCCAGCGACACCACAGGTTGGACACCTGTTTCTTTCACTGCATCTTCCCCACCACTCCTGGATCTCACCAGGCAAAGCATCCACGGCATGGCTTGACATGGACCTGATCCATGCAATCAATCCTTCGTATGTATCAAGAACTTGTTCTAACCTCAGCTTTCAAGAGACATGTTGGTAATCGAGCTTTGGCATTCAAAGAACAAAGTTGGTGTTGTGAACCTACATTTAGCCTTTGGCCATTTAGTCCATTCAAACGTTAGTTTGAATGTCTAGAAACATGGTAGCCGATCTAATCATTTTCGAACCTAACCCAGCTGAAGAAAATAGACGTGCATCCTTAAAAGGACTGGATCTGTCTGGGGCAAGTTCTGCTTACAATTAAGAGCAATGAGGGCCTAGTGACCTAGTCCACGAAAAGGAGGTCCACTAGGTTTTCCCACTCAATTTCCGTTTGAGGTGCTTTTTGGATCACATGAAACTGTGGGGTTGGAAAAAGTAATCAATGTGAGTCTCACTTTGCTGCCAATGGGCCGATGAAAGAAAACTGCGGAGCACTGAGTGCTTTTCTGTCCAAGCAGGGTGCGCTCCCTGAGATATGTACACGTTGCTCCACATCCGCAGCGAGGTCGTGTGCCTGACCTGCGCGGGAGCCTCAACTTCTTCGCTCACTTCTTGTCCTTCTTCTTGGCAGTTCTTCCAGCTTCCTGCTCTTTCACCTGCTCTGCAGAATGAAAAGTCTTGGAAAATAGCCTATCGCTAATGGGAAGACCTGCAAGTTACAAAAAGCAAGCACATCAGGACGTGAAGAAGACACCCCACTTTCAAACACACGACTCTCGAACGAGTTCTCGATTGTTCAGTCGCCTGAGTGTAGGACGCAGAGCTTTTTCTAGCTCGAAAAGGCGTGGGGTCATCGAGCTAGGTCATCAAGTTTGACAGAAAAGGGTCAGGATGCTTCTTCAACCAGTGGCCCAAAGAAAGGGTTCTCATTCGCGAGAAGCTCTTCGCGAGCCCATTAGTTGGAAAACAATACCCTCCCTGCACAAAGGATTGAAACACTCACCAGGCATTCTTCACTCCGGACTCTGGCACGAGCGGCGCGCGCCTAGCCTAGCCGCCCCAGAGTCGCAACTCCAGGGCGGGTGGTGTGGGAAATTTCTTAGCCTGGCTCGAGTGGCAATCTCGCCAAAATGGCAATGAGTGAAATCATAGCAAATAAATAACATGATCAGTGACTGAACAGTGTGCTCTAAAGTGAACCTCTTGTCCTACCCACCAACCGATACAAGAGACCCACTTTCAAACACACGACTCTCGAACGAGTTCTCGATTGTTCAGTCGCCTGAGTGTAGGACGCAGAGCTTTTTCTAGCTCGAAAAAGGCGTGGGGTCATCGAGCTAGGTCATCAAGTTTGCTTCTTCAACCAGTGGCCCAAAGAAAGGGTTCTCATTCGCGAGAAGCTCTTCGCGAGCCCATTAGTTGGAAAACAATACCCAGGCCCTAACCCTTCATCAGTCGCAACCAACGACCTAGTCGAGCGACAATGCAACAGGCCATTGAGCCGGCACTGTCTGCCATCCAGCGTGAGCACCCAACTCCAGGTTATCCCGGGAAGGGGGGTCTGCCGGATTTGCGTCCGTCGCCACTCTATCAATAAAAACGCGAGCTTGCAAGTTTAACACTAGGTCCCAAAAGACTGAAACGAGCAAGCACAAGTCTTCACGACTTGAATACCCCTTCACGAGCGAGGCCTCAACGACTTCCGAATCTATGAAGACGAAGATGTCCGCTCGGAAAAGTCTTTCTGAAAAAGTTTCGAGAGCTACGATGGCCGCGAGCATCTCTACAGGGATGATCTGAGTTTTACGGACCAACCACCTGTCTCGCAACTCCTTCGGCACTCGAGCGGTGAACTGCACAGGTGAAATCATGCGCCTATCAAAAATCACTCCTCCTATCCGATCTGGCCTACGATTGTCTTCACGGGGGTCCGGTGAAAACCCATCAGTGAAAATGAACGAGCACAGTTCGATCGTCCGGGGTGGTCCTCTGCTGACAAGTTTGAGCCACTGCCTCAGAGACTCCTCGAGAGGTGGATCGAGCACGAACGAATCATTCGAAGGAAAACGAGCGTACTGCCTCTCCGAGATCGATCGAAGAAAGGCTCTTCCCACTTTGCCCCAGAGCTGGCTTGCGCCAAACGTGAGCTTGCCTTTAAGCTTTCCAGCGTGGCCAGGCTCTAGGACTCCCGAGCGGAGCACGCTCTGGATCTCATCAATAAGCTCTTCACGCCGATTGGCTTTGATTTCTAGAACCCAGTCCGAAAGGTTGTATGTCACACCTAAGACTACAGGCTTGTCTGTCAGTTGGAGCTTCTTCGGGTCGAACGCCGCCCCTAAGAGCCAGTGTATCCTCTGAGCTACATGAAAGGCAGACTCAACTGAACCGAGCGGCTCAAAGCCATACCTGTCGTCGTAGAAGTTGAACGCAACCAGGTTGAACAACCTCAGGAGAATCTCATTGATCGCTGCCGATCTGCGGTTGTAGTTGTAGACTGCCGACACAAGCCCAAAGGAGTGACCGACCATGACAAAGAAGGCAGGTTCGAGCGACACTGGCGATTTGATGCAAATCACGCTGAACTTCCGGTGATCCGGACGAATAGCCACTTGACGATAGGCTTTTCTCTCATCGAGCACCCAACCAGCAAACTTAGCACCAGGCATTGCCGATCGCATCATGCGCAGCGCTGCAACATTGGTGTCTGTCGATGGCAGTTGCAATTTCTCGGTGATCACCGTCACCTGGTTGATCATATTTGTAGTCGCACTGTCGCAGCCTCGAACTTTGTTCTTCTGCGCAACTTCGAACCTTTGAGTTGGTATCCAGTCATCACATTGAAGCACTTCAGACACCTGATCAGGGCTGGAGAAAGGCCTGAGAGTGGATCCCTCAGACACGTCCTCCAAGGTCGCTTCCCTGATCTTGGTCAGGTTCTCTGAAACTGGCACCGAACGGACACGATTGACAATCTTTGAGCGCATTGCCCAGGCCCGATCTAAGGCTTCTTGAACAGGGACAACTGGCACCTCTTTGTCATAGGGGGGCCAGCGTCGCGAACGCGCTATGGGTCCCACAATGGGAAATCCCTGCAGCAGCAAATCTGGCATGAACGCATCCACTGAATGGCAGGCTTCGAGCATCTCGTAGTACAAGGCGACGTGGCAGCAGGAGCCGAGCTGGCATGGCTGATCGTCCTCAACACCTCGAAGGAGCCGACGAAGCGGTCGATCCGAGACAGAGGCAAGAAGCGCTGCTGTAGAAGGTAGAAGTGCGATCGCACGCGCCTCCCAGAACTGTAATGCATCCAAGCGCTGCTGAACCACGGCTGGCAGATCTGCCGCCAAGTTGCTGACACACTTGCGCAAGTCTTGATCAAGCTCAACTTCAATGCAGAGTGGGTGTGGAATGGAGAGAGCCCACTCGATGGCCACTCCGGGCTCGGTCTCGAGGTGGAGGAGGGGCTTGCGAGCGCCACGTTTGAGCTGGTACCCCGCTGCTCCGGCCTTCAAGGCTGACAAAGCTTGACGATGGTCTTGCCAACGAAGCGCTTGACCAACAGGGCGCTTCCGCTCGTCCGACAGGAGGCGGAAACTTGGCTCGAACTGTGGCACGTGATCAGCCCAAATTGAAGAAATGATGCGCACTAGCTGTGTGCACAGAGCGATCGGGTAAACTTGAGCAAGCTTGGTGCGGTAGACCCAACGGCCAAAGAAGTCTGACCAGACTTTGCCTCTGAGTTGCTCATGACGATGGCCACCTGGACAACGATGGCGTAGTGCACCGAGCCCCTGATGAGACACCAGCAACCGTGTAGGCTTGACCAAGGGAGCCCCAAAGTAACACTGATCAAAGTCGACGAACCAGGCTTTAGTGAGGCGCTTCAGTTCAATGATGTCAGGCGTGAGCCACATAAGACTGAACTCCGGGTTCTCGATCGAGAAATCTCCACCATGCAGATACACAGCGAGGCATGCCATGCACGAGCGTTGGAGGAACAAGTTTCCCAAGAAAACCATGGCAGCATTTTCCGCGTCCAGATGGGCCAACCCGAGCGGTTGCTCTGGCGAGCGCAGGGGAGGTGGTCCTCCATCAAGCTTCCGAGCTGCAGAGAAGGTATTGCACGGCGTCCCACAGTGCAGGAAACGAACTGCGCCCGCTTGGACGAGCGCCAGGATGAAGTCCCAGTTGTCGGCATCCACCACATCGAAAGGCTGAGGCACCATGTCACAAGGAGTGATGTCGATCGGTGGGAGGCACGGCAAACCCGCCTCACGAGCTGCTTTGGTCAGCGTGGCTGTGCCCGAGAAGATCTCCAGGAACCAAGGGCCTGCTGCGGCGACCGCCGCGACATCCCGGGGCACCTCAACCCAAGAGTGCCAAGCTGGCGGAGGCTCTGTCAACACCCGAGCGGGCGCTTCATGCGCGCCTCCAGGCTCCTCATGAGTCGGAGGCAGAGGGGCCGGAGCGGCTTTCCCCTCTGCCGGTGGTTGCCATGCCAAGGGTGCTCCTTGCCACATTCAACACAAAGGTGAGCACTCTTGCACTGATCTCCGAAACGGCACCCTAATGAGCAGTTGAACCATGGACATCGTTTGGGTCCCTTGTACTTGAACGAGTTGATCTTGCTCCATTCTGCGGTCGGCACACGAGCATCCTTCTTCGGCTGCTCCTTCTTCTTGTCCCCGAGCGCCTCGCGAGCTGACTTCACGAGCTGTTTGCGTCGATCTCTGCGAGCTTTGTTCTTCTTGGCTTTGGTCGACGGAGCTGACTTGACCGGAGAGTCAGACCTATCTCGCTTAGTGGACTTGCGAGTAGGAGTAGACGGATCCTCTTGGTGCCCCGCCTGTTTGAACTTCTCCAGCTCTGCGCTCGATCGAGCATCGTTCCACAACTGCTTGTGATGCGTGAGAACTTCGACCAAAGCACTTGAGAATGTGGGGAATGACTTGCGTTGATCCGCATTCAGCCGGTAGACTTTCTTCCTGATCAGGGCGTCGACTGTCAGGAGCAGAGCCAATCCACGGTGCTCATGGCGCCACTCTTCAAGCTCCGAGAGATAGCGAAGAGGGCCCGCTGCGTAGCTGAAATCGCAAATGTTCAGGGACTCAAGAGCGACCAGGAAGGCGTGCAACTTGTCAATGACCTGTGACTCAGAAGCTGCGGCCTGCGGTTGATCGATCGTCACGACTCGGAGCAGGTCCTCAGCGTTCTTCGACAGGCCGCTCTTTTGAGCGATTTGCTCGCTTCGGGTGCGCATCTCACCAACTTCACAGAACGGCACCGCACCATGAACAAGGAAGTCACGTTGGATGCGCTCCACGAACTTGCGGTGCGGCTCCCTGTGATGAGGCAAGAGAACATCTGGGTGCTTGGTGACGAACTGTTCACGGAACTCGGCATGGTCATCTCCTGGGATCTCAGGGACCTTTGAAGGGTCCTCTTCCATTTTTGCTCGCCGAGCGGCGAAATGTTTTTGGAGTGACGAACATGTCTTCCACACGGCAGCTAGAGATGTCAATGCAAGCTCCACAGCGGCGGGAGAATCACCGAGCAGTGAATCATCAGCAACGATCGTCTTCAGCGTCGCCTTCACAGCAGCGATCGTGTCACCCAACATGGCGAAGCCTTCAACAGTGAGCGTCTTCTTGTCAGCCATTAGCCGACATAAATCCTTGGACAGGCGCTGACGACCGAAAACTTGCCTGAGACTCAGCTCAGGAACAGAGGTCGGGTCGTAGTGAGTGCGATCGACCATTGTGGCGAGCAGCGCTGACCAGTGCGGCGGTTTGAGCACTTTCCGAAAGAAGGAAAAAGAACAGACTCAAACACATCCCAATTGACGTGGAAAAACATGCACATGCTCCAGACATGAAACGTGAAAACATGAAAAACTGGCAAATCAAGGACCTCACAGCCACGTCAATCTAGCCGGGTGGACCTCATGATGCAGATGCTGAGCTAGCAGCCTCCGCGTGGTGTCCAAAGAACGTCGCCACCTCAGGCCTCGCGCGGGCACATGCCTTGCACAAGACGTTGAGATCAGGCAGTGTCTCACCCACGGACGAGCAGTCTGCGAGGTTGAACTTGTTGCACGCTGTGACCCCTTCGTCCGAGCCGGACGTACAATGGTACTTGTACTCATAGTAGCTTCCCGGGCTCGGGTTCTTGATGAAGAACTCGAACGACGAAAGTTCATGATCGTTCGAATCGACCAAGATAGTGTTCTCGTCCTCTTGAACTGGGCGCTCACCTTGAACGAGGTCACGAACGAGTTGCTTCACCATCAGAGCCGGTACTGCCGAGCGGTTGCGGGTGTATTTCAACACTAGCGGCCCAGGATTCTTCCAATTCGCTTGGAGTCCTATCTCCTCGGTCGTACGGCCTGCATGAACTGCCGCGTCTAACAATGTGACCCGGCACGAGTGCATGGTGAGCTTGTTGATTTCGATCGCATGGCGAACTTGCTGCGGCTTGGTTAGCTCTGAACTCTCATCCGACAGTCTCCTGCAGTAGACTTTCAGCCACTGCAAGGTCCGAGCGAACGACGGTGGTTCAGTCTTGAACTCCGATGGGGTGTTGAGCTCAGGGATCCAAAAATCACGGTCGAGCGACTGAGTGGCGAGGAACAACTCCCACCCCACCTCGAGCCAGGCTGACTCGCGGAACCCAATCATGGGGACCACGAACCGAGTCCCGACTCTCTTGCGGTCCACCTTGGTCTGCCAGGCGACTCCGTAGAGTCCTTCCTCGCCCATGTGGAGCTCACCTGGTCGAACGTGGATGGCATCGTCGAAGCGGAGCGACGCGAACACCATGCAAAGGATCCACCAAATGAACAACCTAGCCGCATCCGGTTTCACCGGGTTGATCACAAAAGTCTCGAGCTCTTTAACGACGCCGATCGGGATGGGAACAGCCTCCTTCAAGGTTTTTGCTCGTGCGACAATGATCTGATTTTGTAATGCCACAAATCTAGCATCATCGAAGGGAGGTGGGTCGATTGCCAATCTCTGACACACCCACTTCACACCAGCACGAAAGTTCGGGAGGACGGACGGACCACACTCTCGATCGCCCAAAAACACACAGTACTTGAGGACCTTATCGATCGTAAGCGGGTACAGGTCAAGCTGGAGGGCGCCTGCCCATTTTTCCAGCCTCTCGAACGTCTGGATGTGAGCCGCCATCGTTCGATGCGCACCATTGGTCAAAACGAGCTGTTTGAGTTTCAGGCGTTCGCCTTCCGAAAGCTCAGAGTCCGAGGCATGCTCCTGAAAGAGTCTGGCAGCCACACCAGCCCGTCTCCCAACTGCTTCGAGCCTTGAAGCCCAATGCCACTTCGCGCGGCGCTCCTTGTCCAGGAGTGGCGTCGCAGAGGCCTGATCCGGTTGCGCCACCTTGGCACGTTTCGGTGGCCTGGGCGCTGGCTTGAGGAGGGCTGCGATTGCAGACTGCTTCCTGAGCCCTGCCAGTGGATCAAGTTTCAACGGTTGCGGGGTGAACTCACACAAACCAAAGCCTAGCTGAACAGCAGTTGAATCGAAGTAGGCTCTCTCGATCGACGAGACGAGAGCCCAAAACTGTTCGAGCATGGCTTCACGTCCGCGAAGCTTGGTGGCCACCTCCTCACCCCATGAACCAGTCGCCTCCACCACTTTGGCCGCGAACTGCGAACCCGAAGGGGCCTCCATTGCAGCAACAAAAGCCACACTCCCGATCGGGGCGGCCTTCACGGCCTCCCTAAAGGGATCATCGAAAATGGGGAGGGAGAGAACCCTCGCGACGAACCTGTCACAGTTCGGTTCCCCGATCATAGGTGCCGGAGCCAAAAACCTACAATCAAGGAGGTTGCTAAGAAGTTAGAAAACAAAATGAGACGAACGTTCCGGACATCAGGCCAGGAGGTGAGCCGAGCGACGTGACCAACCGAACCGGAACCCCCGAAGAGGACCACCCAAAAAGTCAACACAACCGCTCACCCCCGGCGAGAGCCCATCCGAGCGCCCACAACCGCAACTGGGAGTACTGACCTAGGTACGGTGCGAGCGCAAGACCACGAACGTGCGGAGCGAGTTGAACAACACTTCAAAGCATCTCGAAAAAGCTAGAGTGCCAAAATCAACACACTTGACTCGTTCGATCGAACTTCACCCTTGCACAGGTCAGCATCATGCCACACGACTGACTCCCTTGCTCATCTGTGAACACAGAGATGCAAGTGTCAACCCGTTGGCGAGAGCGACCTGGGGACCCACCACCCTCTCTGAGTATCTTGCCTCGAGCGGGCGGTCGTGCGAGCGCACAGTTCACGGCCGATCGGCGTGATCGAGTGCATCAACTCACACACGAGAGAAGGGTCCTCCAATTTATGCGAGGCCAGCTATCGAAACCTTGGGGCCTCTTAAACAAATGAACTATTGAAAAAGCTCAGCTGCATTGAACAATGTTTCAGCTTGATGCGAGCAGCGATCGGAAAACAATCGTGCTGATTAACGCCACGAGCAGTTCAAAATTGGTCACTGCCCCGGCTGAGGTGGACGAAAAGACCTTGGGCCGGTCTCTCCTTCGATCGAATTGTACTCCTCGATCGTCACATGAGATTCTGGCCTCTGGTCGCTCGCCCAGGCGGTGCGCCTTGCCGCCTCTACGAAAGCTTGCGGCGTCATAGCCGAGCAATCCATCATCTCTGCACGCCTCTGCTCGAGCGGCCGACGAGGAGGGGCCAGTGAGGAGCCCATGAACGTCCCAACACCAGGCGCATGCCCGGGGTGGGTCACGGACGGCTTCTCAGAGCTCACTGGCGTCGCGACCACTGCTTCTGAAGGCGCCGGCCCCATCAAAGCTTGAGCGAAGCGTGGAGCTGTAGCAGCGGGCTGAACAGCCGGACCATCGACGATCGGGGGCATCACCTTCGCGACCACTTCGTCGAGAGGGTCGTGACACTGAAGAGCCAATGCCTCTGCCTTGACGATCGCCCTGTCTTTGCGCAGGAGCGGGCTCTCACACACCAGATGGACGTTCGCCGGGTTGGACTCCACCGCGATGGCCGAAATCCTCGGCCCAGCTTCTGCCTCCGATGGGGCTTCTACTGTAGCCGTCCAATGAGCATGTACTGCGGCGAGCTGGCCCAACTGAAGCTGCTGATCAGGACATTCAACTCTTGCCCCGTGCTCACGGCACCACTTGGCATTTCGGATCAGGGTCGGCCCCGAAACACGACTGACCATGAGCATGGACGGAGGCGCCTGAACCACACTGGCCGCAACATCAAGGCGATCGCCAGCGCTAAGAAAGCGCATTTCCAAACGATCAGCGTCAGAGCCGAACGCATCTGGCGAGCTTGTTGCAACAAAGCGAACTTCAAAGTGGCATAGTGGATAATCCAGTGCCACAACAACACCACCCTCTGAACAAGCGTAGATGCGGCCCCCGACCTCCCAGGAGACCGCTACCACGCGCCAGCCCTGGAAGACAGTCACGATGAAGCTGGGCACGAACAGCGTATCCGAGAGGATTGTCTGGATCGCGTCAGCCACATGCCACAATTGGAGCGAGAGATCGTGGTCCGAGCGGTACCCACGAAACTCCATGTGAAGAAGGAGATGACCTTCCAACTTCACTTTGACATCGACCCAGGTCGGCGACTGCTCAGTCATGGGCGGCCACCTGAAGGGTTGGAAGGCCGAGTGGCTCATGACCTCACCAGTGAGCGAGTCCCACTTGGCACATGGAGCCTGTCCATAGCAGGTCATTGAACCACAGACCGTCACCTTGACTGAATCCAAGGTCCGAACCATGAACAGGTTCAGGTGGTAGCCCGTAGACGGTGACCCCAAAGCATTGGTGAGCACCTCGTCTAGCAGCCAACCTTGGAAGGGACTCTGAACTCTTCGATCACGATCGTCCAGCACGAGGATGGAGCGCTCGCCCTCGCCTGCCCCGATCTGTGACAGGTGATCAGGAAGGGCAGTGTTGAGCGGGTTGTGAGCTAGCCGCCCAGGGGCCAACGACCTCGGCGAGCTGCCTGCTCCTGCTGTCTTCGGAGCCTCCTCGAAGTGGGGTTCTCGTTGGAGTGGTCGAGTAGCCCTTGAGCTGCTTGCATAACCGGAGCGTTCGCTGCAGCAGAGCTTGCTTTAGCTGGAGGTGGTGGCGGAAATGAGTATACCGCCGGTGTGGACCAGCCAGGTGGTGGCGATGGCCAAAAATCACTCGGGGTCCACGAGCAAGTTGAAGAGGCATCGTCGATCCTGTTGGTTGCATGCCCCATTTGACGAAGTAGGGCTGCTGGAGGAGCTTTGCGAGCAGGGGGACCCTTTGGAGGTGGTCCCTTGGCCTTCCCCTGATCGGTCGAACTGCCACTCGAAGCCATGGCCCAGGCCCTCAAGAGCGGGAACACAGGAAATTTCTTAGCCTGGCTCGAGTGGCAATCTCGCCAAAATGGCAATGAGTGAAATCATAGCAAATATATAAATAACATGATCAGTGACTGAACAGTGTGCTCTAAAGTGAACCTCTTGTCCTACCCACCAACCGATACAAGAGACCATGACAGTTATCAGAAACAAATGGTAGAGAGTGCGAAACTGAAACTAGGAGTCTTGTGAGAGGATATGAAACAGCTGTTCATTGAAAGCGGAGGTCAAACCCTGAAATGAGGTGAAAAAGAATGAAAACCAACCGGTATATTGGTCTGGACTTATTTGGAGAATAGGAGTGACAATTCGGAGAAGTCTCTTAGCTGAACAATACTTAAACAAAAACCTAAGGAGGAACAAGCATAAAGTGCAAGGTTCTTGAAGAAAAGCTCTCCTTCTCTTGCAGTTTGTTGACCAAAGCACCTGCCACGGGCTTGATAGGCATGGATCACCAAAATGCTTCTGCAGAGAGTCCCATCCAAGACATCAACATCGGGCCAAGAACCTTCAACGTCTTCAATCCGACTTTTAAGCGGACGTGAGGACTTGGGGCCATCACACAATAGCCTCTTTTGATTGGAATCTTGGATGTTTGATTAACAAAACAAGCAAGGGAGCACATTACATGATAATACTATTACATATGATTCGATGTATTCACATGATATTACAATATTACATGTTTACAGAAATCGGCCACCTCGTCCATCCTTTCCGGCAGACTTGTTCACGAGACCGCTGCCCCTCGAACTCGCCTTAGCGGACTAGCCACTGGGGCTGCAGTTTGAGGGTTGTTGCCCCATTCTGTCTCAAACTTTTTTTGTCATGCGGCCAGGTCGAAATTTCAGCGACTTGGCGGAAGCTGGATGCAGCTGGGTATGATTTCTCATCTGCCATCTCAATTTGGGATCTGTGGCTTATAGAATTTTCTTACAAGGCTTGATAAATTACCTTGCCTGGATAGTGCTGCTCCTTGGCATTGGCCATTTTTGTATAGTGTCTCTTTGTGATATTCCTGGCTTTATATCTGCTGTGTATGTTTAAAAAATACAAAATCAAGGGATCAGCCCAAAGTTTGAACCGGTTGCGCAACAAGTGCTGATACCTGATGAGTATGATCTTTATGTTATTCGCCTGGGGATAGCTTTGACGAACTCGGAGTCTTTGCACAAATGTCTTTGTGCTTGCGCAACCCTAATGTTGAGGGTTTTTCGCTTTGTTTGGCCTGCATAGCACCAATGGCTTTGTGCTCCCGCCGGTCACTGTTTGGTTTAGTTCATCAAGACTTGGCCAATCTAATCTGACGGTTGAAAACAGAAACACCAAAACGATCTGAAGCATGGGAACATCCTGGGCTCAATCCGCTTGCAAATGCAGTCACTGCGTTGCAGGTGTCTTTCCACTTCTTTTGCTCGGCTCGATGTGCCTGTTCTCCGCATCCATGTACTTCTGCCTGGTCGGCAGAATTGGGGCAGGTGCTTAATTAGTTAACTGTGGCGAAAGGACCGCGATAGGATGGAAATAACAGACAAAGTCACTAATTGCAATGGCCTCCAACCTGCTAGAGATATTAGCGATGGGCCATCGCCGATGGCCTCCAACCTACTACCCATTGCCTCCAACCTAGATGCGATGGCCCAACTTAATAGCGGTGGCCTCCAGCCTACTAGCGATGGCCTCCAAACTACTAGAGATGGCCTCCAACCTAGCAGCGATGGCCTCCAACCTAGAAGCGATGGCCTCCAACCTAGAAGCGAGGGCCTCCAACCTAGAAGCGATGGCCTCCAACCTAATAGCGATGGCCTCCAAACTACTAGCAATGGCCTCCAACCTGCCAGCGATGGCCTCCAACCTACTAGCGATGGCCTCCAACCTAGAAGCGATGGCCTCCAACCTAATAGCGATGGCCTCCTCCTGCCTGAGCGTGATTCAAGCAGAAGCGCAAATTGCAGTACCGGCATTTGGAGATCCTCGAAAGAGCAACTGTGGTGCACATCTTCTGTTGGATTTTGATCCTCAAAACCAAGCCAGTCTTGGTTGCAGTTGTTCCTTGCGAGCTCAAAAAACCCTGGCAAGGCCCGACAACTGGGTCATGCACGCATCCATCAGGGTGTTAATCTTTTCCTCGCGCATTGAGCCCAAAAAAGTGAACCCGCCAAGACAACCGAGCCTTTCTTGAGATCCAAGGACTGCTCGAGCACCAAAAAATTGTGTAACTGTCACATCTTTCATCTAGCTGGAGACTTACTGTGAGTCCATGAGATTCTTTGATCGAGCGTTGCTCTTGGACGGAACTCATCGGACAACCAATCCCCGAGTCGCACCCAGAGCAGCCTCTCCTTGCAACTGGCGAAGGAGCATGTTCGTTCCTCAGCTTGTCCACGGCGTCTGGCTCTTCCGTTTACTCTGAGACTCGTGAGAACAAGAAAGAACACCTAGAAAACTGGCATGTTGTCCTAACAAACGGTGTGACCAATCTCTTCTCGCCTGGGTGGTAAACTCCAAAAGCACTGCATCCAGGTCGTCGTCGTCAGCTTGAGGTTTTGCTCCTTTCTCTTTCTTTGCTGCCTGCCCAAATCTACACTCTACGCCTTTCGCCCTCAAGGAAAAAGATTTACCAAGATAGGGTCACTGAATAATACAACATACTAATGATTAATATACTAAGCCAAATCACGCAAACACCCACCTTCTTTGCTTGCTTCAATTCCTGTGAAGGGGAGCTTGGAGATGGCAATACAAGGCAAACCACAACGGTTTGTGGACCCACCCAACCATCATGATGGGACCTTTCTGTGGCGGAACTGCCCCCCTGTGTCCAAAAGTGCTCCGTATAGCAGTTTCTGCGACTGATCAGTGAACTAATCTTTTGAATCCAAGTGTCATTCTGAGTTTTCTGCAACTCTGTTGCTCTCTTATCTGCTTGAGCTTGCTGTCTTTGCAGCCTCGACAAGGGTTGATAGTATGAAAATATTGCAAGCCAGAGCGTTAAGCCGACCTCTCTGCATGGAGATTGGCCAACATCGATGATGCTGCAGGAGCAGCTGCAGGAGCGGGCTGATTCTCCTCCAAGAAAAGGACATCCAAACTACGTAACTACTCGACCCCTAGCGATGTTGCCACATCAAGGCGGCCATGAAATGCGTTCCAGTGACAGTTTTGACTTGGAAAGAAGAGGATGCAAAAGGGACTGTGTCTCTTGCATTCTCTTGCCTTGTTGCTGGAGATCTTCTGGGATTCTGCGGTTGGTGCTGCTTCAGCTGAAGGGGCCTTGTGAAACGTCACTCCCTGGTACTCATGGGCGAAACGTCCACACCAAGTCTCCCAGCCTGCACCTGAAAGCGGCGCGACTTCTTGCTCTCATCTTCGACCACCCTCAATTTCAGTTCACCTCAATTGGGATCTCACGGATCTCACGGAAGTCAGTGGGAAAACGGAAAACAAAGGAATAGTAATAGATAGATAGGTAATCATGCGAGGTTCTTTTACAAGAAATTAGAAACCACCCCCGAGTTCCATCAAACTCCTGTCACTAGCAAACACGTCACCCAAAAGAAGGTCCAAGTATATAAATATCTGTCGAGCCAAGAAGCCAGCAAGGCGCTTCAGCAGCTCTGCCTCCTCCTGTTTCAGGCTTGCCAACACGGCCGAAATTGAAAAAAATGCCAAATGCCAACACGATCCCAAATAATAGTGTTCTCAGTCGCAAAACGACATCCAACGATACCGATACCGGCTCCTGACGAGATTTACTTGTCAAGTCCAGTCCTCACTGGGATTCTTCCACTCAGCCGCTTTCCCAGGACCTGACCAGCTCGACCCACGAATCGCTGGTCCCTGCCCCAGTAAGCTCCCCGGAGAAAACCCGGCCTAGGGAGGACATAAGACTCTTGGCTCTCCGCTCAAAAGCGTCGATGGCGGTCTCCATCTCCTCCGTCACATGGGGCGCTGCTTCCGTCTGCTTCAGCAGCTCGGGCTTCTCACCCTTCCACACCACCAAACGACGTTGCATGCCTTCGCCTCAGGACAGATCCATAGAATTCTGACATCCACAGGACAAATTCAGCGGTATAGAGAGAAGGTATTATTCAGGGATGTTCACTAGTCTCACTGGATTTCAGGCAACTGTCTCCAAACATCTCTTGCTTGCAAATACGTGTGTTTTGCCTGGCCTATGGATTCGTGCTGGAGGCCCAGAGATTTGGCCACTTCATGTGCCATGGCTCTTTCGAAGGGATTTAACGTCTTAGGCAATTCGATGAAGGATTTCTCCTCCTTCGATGTAGCCTTCCCGGACTCCGTCAAAGGCCGCAGTTGATTCTCGAAGCGGCGTCGCAGTTGCTCTTCTCGCTCCATCTTGTCATCTCTCTTCTCTTTCATCGCTCCCTTGCGAAGGCCAAAGGATGAAAGTGCAGTCTTTACAAAAAAAGAAACGATGACCCCCGGGTCACAAGTTCAGAAATAGTGTCAGCAGTATACAAGCAGGGTGTGAGGAGCTTGTTTGAAGAGGGCTAAGTTAAGCGCTTTTGACAAATGGCCAGTAGCTACTCAAAAAAGTATATGTGAAGCAGGTATGTTTAGGTCCAAGAAGCAGCTTTTTGGGCCATTGCTCTCAGCCGCTCTTCCTGAATCACTTGCGCAGTGGCTGGATCTGCTGGAACCCCACCATCCTCATCCAAGAGCTGTTGGACAAAGGCAACGCGTCCAGAGTCACAAGCGTATTCGTACAAGGAGCTGAGGATGTTGTCCTCTTTTGGACACAAAGAGTTGGCCCCTTTGTCAGTTCTGTGCATCAAGTCTACGTTAACATGATGTGTCTACCAAGAACCACCAAGCTGCAATGCCATTCTTGGGAACCTTTCTTTTCAAAACCTCCGTTTTTTCCTCTGCAGTCCTTGGAAATGGTACTGGCATCGCCCACAATCATCACGTGCTTCCGAGCACGTGTCACAGCCACATTGAGCCGGCGGAAGTCAGACAAGAAGCCGACCACACCATGCTGATTGGAGCGAACCAGAGAGATCAACACGGCATCCGCTTCTTGACCCTGCACGGTCTGGATGTGGAGTTCTTATAGGGGTAGACTGGGGTAGACTGGGGTAGACTCGGTTCCATCATTTCCATCGCTTTTTGACAAACATAGGAGGCCTAGATTTCATTACTTGCCCCCTTTTAGCCCCTGAAGTGTCCCATTCCTGGAAGGAGTCCACCGTGCTGACACGAGGTGACAGCTGTAGCTGTTCAGCTTCAGGATCTTCGGCAAAGTCACATCGCAGTTGCTCAACTTGTCGATTGTAGGGCGTGATCACCGTGATGGCTGACGGCTTCAGCCCTGCCTTGACCAAGACTTTTGCATAGTGTAGAACGAAGCGAGACTCTCCTGGGTTGCACCGAGATTGATGGAGGTCGGACTGCGACAGTTCTCCATCCTCCCGGTACATGGCCAGGCTGCCTGTGTCCACAAACAGCATCGGGGCTGTTAAAATGTCCAGAATCTCAGGTGTGATATTCGCTGCAGGGACTTCTTGAAGGCTAAGGGTTTGGTGAGCCACGGATGATGCAGCTTGTAGCTTGGACTCATAAAACGAACGCGATGACCATCCCATGATGATTTCATTGGACCGGTACTGAATGGACAACAAAGCGGCCACTTCGTCGCCATAGGTGTCGATCAAACGTCCAAAAAGAGTCTCATCAAGACCCTGCTGCTGTGCAGACGTTGACTTGACGCAAGCCGACAGTTGCTGGTGGTCACCTGCCAGGACGGCCTTCTTTCCTGCAAAGTTTGAATGTCCAATCCCTAAAAATTTGGTTCCAGACTACGCCATTCAAGCACACCTTGGCGTTCACCAAAGGCCACACTTGTATGATCTTGGATTTTCAGCACACCTTGGTCCCTCACCCTTTCGCAGCTCACCCTTTCGTCGCCCAGTCCTAGCATAAGAGGAATCCAGCAGCCCACCTCCAAGGCCTGTGCGGCCTCGTCGATGACCACCACATCGAAGACCGCTCCACCCGAGTCCACACCGCTCCGGCGCAACTCGCGGTGCAATGTGGCCGCACCGGTACAGGTCGCGAAGACCACCTGGTGGACAACCGTATTTCACCACCCGTTGGCATCTTACCTGATATCTAGGACCTAGGATCTGCATATATATATATATATATACAGTATATAGTTGTTTCTACAGGCTTTTGTTCTTTCTCAGGTAGTTGATAAACTCAAGAAGGCAGTAGGCTCAAGTGAAATGTGCAAGGCTGGGTAAAAGCAAGCATAGAATGAGCAACATTCACTTAAGCGGAGCTTTACAGGAATACCTTTTTGACCAAATCACTCCTGTTTCACTACATTTGCCTCTTGTTTCTCCCACAGATCCTCTACCTTCCTTGGGTCACGGGAGGGAAACATCTGCAGAATGCACGAAGATTTTCCAAAACTCAGCGTAAGGGTACGTGCCAGATGCCATATGTGTCAAACATTCCTCCATCCACGGCTCGACCGATCGCCCTTCAAACATTTGGCAAATTCGCTTCATCCACAGGACACATATCAAACCTGCAAAGGCTGGAATTTTTGCAGTCCTGAGTCCTAAGTACGGTCGCTGTAGAGCACAGCGGTCAAACATTCTCAAGTCTTTAAGCAGTTTCTCGATCATCGATCAATGGGCTTGATTATAAAATTGTTCTCGGACAATTGATAAAATTTGAGGACAGGTGGGCATTCTACACCTACCCTGGTACGCTGGTGGGAGTACATAGACGACAGCCTTTGGGTCAGGTCCATGAAGTCTGACATAGCAAATTGGTGCGCTGTCCCAAATCAGACGTGTTCTTGCTTTCCTTCACAGCGCAACTAGTTCAGGAGTAGATACTGGCAACTCCTGAAAGGTCCTTGTTGAGATATGTCAACGATTTTTTTTCTGTTTTGGGGTTGTGCACAGAAACACACATGAGATCGGATGTCTAACCAACCATTAATGCATAATCGTACAATCTTCACCACTCCAATCTAAGTAGCATGAGAGATGTGACAAACGGTTGCAATGAGATAGTCAACGACCTGAAACAAAACAGCCACCCATAATCTGTGTTGTACAGCAACCACAGCAGCAGCAGCAGCAGCAGCAAACCAGCAGCTGATCTGAGACCCTCGTGAAGGGCCCAGACTTGAACACTGCAATGGACCCAGCTGTAACCTGCATAAAGCCATCAATTCAATCCTGTCGGGCCCCATCTCATCTCTATGTCCAAAACTATTGCAGGTCTTGTGCAATGCTCCGGCGATCAACACAACACCAAAACTTGACGATTTCTCAGACCTAGTACCCCTACAACAGCCTTGGTGATGCGAGTGATGCCACGCCAACGAAAAATGATCCCCAGATGTTTGTTCGCTTTGGACCCGCACTCCCTCACACTCCTAGAAACTAACTTCACCCTAGCCTATCGACGGGCTCAGATGGGTTGTGATGGCCAAGGCATACATGGCATAGGTGATCAGTTTCTTCTACGCAACAAACTGTGCAGAAACTATGTTGGGATTGGGCCCTATTCATTCAACCTTCCAATCCCTGTGATTTAGACCAGTTCAGCCTGCGTGTGCTTCAGCACTTCAGCAACTGCACGTCTCTCACGCTGCCGTAATTCTGTGCGAAGCTCCTTCAGTGCACCCCAGGATTTTTCACCTTGTGATGGTTTCTTCGATTTTGAGGTGTTCTTTTTGACGATGTCATCGATCTCCTTCTTTATGTCTCGGCAAAGTTCCGCTTGCTCGGAACCATACACCACATTGTCCATGGTAAATTTGTGAATGCTTTCCTGTACCCTTGCGGGATGTCCAAGTCTTACTAGAGAGCGACACCCAGCGTCCGCCAGCCGTTCCAGAAGATTGTCCACCGCGACGTTCGAAGGTGCTGTCACCAAAAGACGTTGCTTTCGGTAGACCGCTTCCAAAATATAAGACACCAAGGTGGTTGTCTTGCCGGTGCCAGGAGGACCATGGATGATGGCCACATCACCAGCACAAAGGGACTTGATAACAGCAGATTGTTGTGGTTCATTGAGCTTCTGGCTGGATTCAGACAAAAAAGTACAATCGATGGCATCTGCGCGGGCGCAGTCTTCCGTCTTCTTCTCGTAGAAACGTGGATGTGCCTCTCCAAAACACACATCAACCAACCGGGAAGCTGGACTTGTTCGACTCCCACTTTTCAGGAGGTCTAAAGCTTCACGATACCGTTTGAGCGTGACATCAGATGACACCAAAGCAATGTTCAGCGGTCGCCCATCCAACACCTCGATCGGCACGTCTCCATCGAAGGCGACTTGGATTGTTGAAGACTTAATTCGGGTCACTACGGCCGATGCCAGCGGATGAGCATTGGCAAGGGGCCGGGAGTTTTGGTCAAAGAAACCAACAATGTCACCATGGCTGATTTTGTGAGCAGGAAGATCACCTGAAATTCGTTCCAGCGTGATACAAGCTCTGCCATACAAAGCCGTAGATTGCTCAGCAACTCGAAGTTTCAAAACAGCGATCCCTCGAGATTGCAATTCTGCTTGAGAACAAGTCTTGAGGAGCTCTGTAGTCTCTTCATCTTCCGCTTCCTTTTCCAACACCAAAACATTTTCACACCACCGGGCAAAATCTGCAGGCGATGAGAAGCGCTGCTCTTTGGCGACCAGTTCGTTCATGCGTTGTGCAACGCGAACTGTAAGCTGCTATGTTGAACATGAGTCGAGGTGTTTTAAAATTGTTGGTTGAAAGCTTGCACCCTGTCTTCCAGGCAGCACAACCTAAATTGTGTGCTTATCTGCATCGTACCTTGGCAATTTGTCGTGAAAAAAAAATGTGTCGTCAGGTCTAAGCTTTGAGCCCAGAAGGAGAGGCACGAAAACCATCTCCCTTGATCCAGAATCGCCTGTGGGGTTGGAATATTTTTGGGTGGCACTGCACAAAGGGCTCTGGCAGTTGCCACTGGGGCGACATGCTGAGGCGAGAATGGCCTGATTCCAAACAAAGTGGCGCAAACAACACGTGGGGAAGTTCTGTTGTAGCGGCGTAGTTAGTGGCATGGTGGTGACAAACCAGAAAAGTTTTAAAAGAACAGTTTAAAACACAACAGATTTCGTAGAAGTACAAGGCAAAATGATTTGAATGTAATATCGGCCAGCCCTCGGCATGATACTGTAGAGTCTTTAAAGCCAAGCGCATGACGATCACCTTTTCACAGCTGAACGCACATCTGAAATATTCGGCCCGTAGTCTGAATTTTGAATGTTGTTCATTCTCGAGCGCGCGCTTGAGCGAACGGTTTCTGCAAAAACAATAGCAAAAACAGTGGCATGACACATCATCACAACTTACATCCGCATATATCCAGCTACGCACATCTTTACATGTGCATATCTTCACACCTGCACATATCCAGACATGCGCATTTTCATATTGTCACATCCGTACATAGTTAGACACGCGCATCTTCACATCTTCACATTCGCAAACAGCCAAACATTCACATCTGCATGTCTTCACACCTGCACATATGCGGACATGCACATCTTCACATCTGCATATCTTCATGCCTGCATATACCCAGACATGCGCACATTCACATCTGCGGATTTGTTCCTGATATTTTTCTATTTTGTGTTGTTTTTTTTTTTTGTCTTTTTGTCCTTTCTTGTTTTCATTGATTTTATGTTTGTCTCTTCCTCTGGTTTCTTCTTGTGTTTTTTCACCTCCCTCCCTCCCTCCCTCGTTCTTTTTCTCTCTCTCTCTCTCTCTCTTCTCTCTTTCTCTCTCTCTCTCTCTCTATCTGTCTCCCTTTTTTTTTTCTGTCATTTTCCCTCTTCTTCCCCTTCTCCCTCTCCTTCACTCTTCGCAAGCTGTTTTTTTTTCTTCTCTTTGGCAGGGGGCAGTCGAAGCGCCACGACTCTTTCACGCGAAACGCCTTTCAAGCATCAAAAACTACAGGCTTCGATGTGGCAGAAATTGCCAAAATGAAAATGTCGTCGAAGGCCAAAATTTTCAGCCATTGTTTGGACCACTGTGAATTTTTGTGGTGCGACTTGTCATTCCAGTGGTGGCACTGCGTTTGCTCAAAACGGGACAGTGTCATTGCAATCCGACTGTGGCTGTGTTGCGGGCCTCACATTGCGAGTCCATGACTGAGAAAGTCTTTTGTGCCCGGTGCCCGTGAAAAACCTACCATCTTAAGTTGGTCACAAACGTTCTAAACACGAAGCAAAAGCACGTGCAACAGTTCACAATCAAAGAGAAAGCACTCGCACCACTTTCACGCACACCCTGAGCAAAGTTATATAAACGCAAAAAAGGATGTGAGGTTCCCATTACAAGCATTTCCCATGCGTCGAGCTTACTGTGGAAAACGCACTCAATTGTGCACAAAACTGTTCAAGAAACATTCACACTGCAAAAGCTGCAAAAGTTTCTCTTCACAAAGCTTCTTAACATTGTACATTCCAGGAGGTGTGCTTTTCAAAGCTCCGTCAAGACCACTTGCTCAAACACTTGAAACGCAAAACCACACTCCAAGAGCGTGGTGATGATCTTTTCGCATGCCCTGCACAGTTGAAATGGAACCAAAACTTCCTCGGATCCAAAGTGGTCTCCACCTCGAGATCCAAACAATTGCTTTGTCAAAAGCTTGACATTCACTTCTTGCAGGAGATTTGACTCAACAAGCCCCACAAAGATTCCCATGCTGAAAAGCCACTGCTGTCGTCAGCTGAACCTGACGAAATTGATTGGAGTTGAATGTGATGCCACATGTCTTTGAAGACACTGGGAGCATGGTTTCCTTTCACGTAACGACTCCAGAGCAGCGATCTCTATTTTCAGGAATTGTGAAAACACGGGCGCGCAAGCTTCCCTTTTGATCCCGCTCACTTGAGCCAAAAGCCACAGTCGGTTCAGACGGTCTTCAAGCTTTACTAGAAGCTTCTCATCTCTTCTCAAAAGAGCTTCGACTGTCCACAGACTTCCAAAACAGGTCTCATACCTACCAAACAGGAAAAAAACTGTCTCCAAACAATCCCAAGCTACATCAAACTCTACACAGCTCCAACAGGTGCTTCTCTAATTTTTTTTGCACGAGTGGAGACGCTATGTGCGCGGTGTGCACAAGTCATCTTTTGCTAAGGTTTGAAACTCCGCGTACTCAAGAAGCGAAAAAAGGGGAAAAACAGCAGAACCCAAAAAACCCAAACCACCAAACAAACCACAACACCAAACAAAAACACCAAAAGAGAACATCGGAGTTTCAGCTCTGTACATCTGAAGTGAAACATGGTGAGACGGGAACTGCGGCGGTTTGCTACTTGGGCCACGAATTCAAAATTAAGCTGCTATTGAGGGCGGTCGAAAGATATGCGAAGGTGCTTTGCGCGATCGGCCTGTGTGTGGACAGGCCAAATCACAAGCACTTGCTGGCGCAAGTGCTCTAGTGGGATTGCAGCTTTCTGAGATTGAGCAGAGCCTGAGAAGTTCCCTATGAGGGCAGCAGGTCAAGAGCTCGTTGGTTGAAGAGCAATGAAGATCTGGCCTTGGAAAACAGCAGTACCCTGGTCTCGATTGTTCCAAGCAATTGCGAAAGCAGGGAAGGCTGTGGCCTGTTGCGTGCAGTTTGCCTATGGAATTCATTGCATTCAAATGCGCCTTGCGGCGCCTGGCATCGCTCCCTCGAAAAGGGGGAGCGGGTATAGCACATCTTGAGCAAGCTCCTTAACAGCTAAGCCTACAGGAGCACAGCAAATGTGCAATGTGCTATCCTAGTTGGATCGCAATCCGATGCTTCAACTGACTCGCCTACATCATGCAAGGCCCTAGTGAAACATGGTGAGACTAGGTACAGCTAGTGTGGTGTTGTTTGCCCACTTTGTACAAGGTTGGCAGGGTACGGACCCACGCTCAGGCCAAGAACTAAGGTTCTCACCTGGGTTCCAACCACCTGTCTATCCTACCGGCGCGTGCCGCCACAGGTCGTCAGCTCACTGGGGTGTATGGATGTGGACATGTTGGTCTCTGAGTAGTGACGACACCTGACTAGCTCTTCTCTCCTTTGTATGGGTTGGAGAGGGCAGTCGGACTCCATTGGTGTAATGCTCCTTCTACGTGGCATCTACGATGTGGCTTATTTGGACTCAGGCCAAGTCCGACACGTATCCCAGATCGGGAATAAGGTGAAGCCACTGTGGCAGGCGCCATCTAGGGCAAAGTGCAAAGGCCGTTTCCCCAGCATAGGTCCCTCTTCACGTAGTTCTTTTGCCTGGCATTCGCGTAAGCCCTCTCAAGACTGCGCAGTCCAAGAAGGCTTTGCAGGCAATGTAATGAAGTGATGGTGGGATGGCTAGCTCTTGCAAAGCGGCACAATTCATAAATGCTTTCGAATGGATAGTGTGGAGCGTATATGGGAGCATTACTCTCTGGAGCAGCACGCAGTTCGCAAATGTAAACTCTCGGATCTCTAGTATGGTTGTGTCGGATATGTCCACTAAAGAGAGAAGCTTACACTTGTCAAGGGCGTGAGCTCCTAGTCTATGGAAGTCAGGGGGTAGCTTGAGGTCACTCAATGCTGTGGAACAAAAGCACCCCGTTGGTATCTCTCGACGCAAGACTGGTGTCGCTGACTGCGGTTCGAGCACTGCTTGCAATATCGTTGTTGCGGCTAAGTTAATGCACGCGTCAAAGAGATAATGGCCTAGTTTAGTCACGCCATTAAAGGTATTAACTCCTCCATTGGCATAAACATATTGCAGCGAACAACAATCTGCAAAGGCCTTGTAGCCGAAATCCGTGCAGCCTGGCGCAGTTATGCTATTTAGCCAATGACAGCCTCGAAAAGCACTTTCTTCAATGCGCACTACTGTGATTGGCAGCTTGACAATTCTTAACTGGCGACAATTTCGCCAGGCAAGCGCCCCAACGGTGTGAATGCCTTCTTCGACGACGACATGACGTAGTCGAGGAACTGCAAGGAAGGCACTAGGCAGGATGATCCCTGCTTCACTGGCCGGGACTTTGACTGCTTTTGGACGATCCCGATACGCACAATCTTCAAAGTTTTCTTTGGTTTGGAAGATTTCCACGCACTCTCGAACGACCAGAGTGAAGTGCTTATTCTTTTACAGGGCGTCCCAGACTCGATCCTGCAGACACTCCTGCGTGATTGGGTGGATAAAGTCCAATTCACTAACAAAGCCATCCAAGTCAGAGACAGTGGCCAAGTAGTCGACTATGTGTTCTTCAAATTCGTCAAACCTGTCGAACTCAGCAATGTTGGTTAAAACAGTGACTTCATTACCTGCCATTTTGGTGAGCAGGAGCTGGCAATCCATGCCTTCGCTCTCTGTCGATGCGCTCGGATTAGAGGCTGGGGGAGTCTCCATCTGAAGAGCGGTCTGCAAACAAATCCGAAACGGGGGACTCGCTTGAGCCAGCCTTGCTTGGCGGCGTCAGCATTCACTTGACCCTCCTTCCTTTGGCTTTATCTTCGGCTAGCTGAAAAGGACGAAACATCTCTGGTCGAAAATTTTTGGGCGATATGCTTATATAGTGTTCTTCGGGTTGCCCAAGCTTACGATCCGTCTCCCATTTGCCTAAGACGAGAACTAAGGCTCTCACCAAGGCACGAGGTTTGTCCATGTTCCCCTGCGTCAAGGTTTTGGTTTAGAACTAAAACTCTGAGCCGCCGAGGTCCGCC